ACATAACAATATTGAGTGCAGTCGTCAATAAAAGTAATAAAATACTTTTTCCCACCTCGAGATAGTGTCGACTCCATATCACAAATGTCATTATGAATTAAGTCTAAAGAATTTGAATTCCTTTTAATAGACTTATAGGGATGCTTTACAAACTTAGACTCAACACATATTTGACATTTTGATTTATTACACTCGAATTTAGGCAACACTTCTAAATTAATTAACTTTCGCAAGGTTTTGTAATTGACATGTCCTAAACGAATATGCCATAAATCATTTGACTCCGATAAATAAGAAGAAGCTGCAATTTTATTCGTACTGTCAACAACCATTACATTTAGTTTGAAGAGGCCCTCTGTGAGGTAACACTTTCCAACATACATTTCATTCTTGCTTACAACAACTTTATCAGAAACAAATACACATTTGAATCCATTCTTAACAAGCAAAGAAGTAGAAACTAAATTCTTCCTAATAGTAGGAACATGAAGAACGTTGTTGAGCGTTAACACCTTGCCGGAAGTCATCTTCAGGAATATCTTCCCATAACCTTCAATCTTGGCTGTTGCAGTATTTTCCATGGAAAGCTCTTCTTCGGGACCAGCAGTAGAGTAAGTCGCAAATGCTTCCTTGACAGCACAAACATGTCGAGTGGCTCCAGAGTCAATCCAACACTCTTTCAGATTTCCAACTAGGTTGCATTCCGAAAGCATTGCACACAGATCATCAATGTCATCATTCTTCTCCACTATATTGGCTTGTCCCTTCTTCTTATCCTTTTTCGGGAGACGACAATCAGGGGCTCTATGACCAGCTTTTCTATAATTGTAGCAATTGCCCTTGAATTTATTTTTGTTCTGCTCCTTAGTCTGTCCAGAAGACCTCTTTCTCTTCTTACTTTTTGGAGCAGTCTCCTCAACGATATTAGCTCCCATGATCGTTGAATTTCCACGAGACTTCTTCTCGGCTGTTTTGTTGTCTTCCTCAATCTTGAGACGAATCACAAGATCTTCCAACTTCATTTCTTTGCGCTTGTGCTTAAGATAGTTCTTGAAATCTCTCCACGAAGGAGGCAATTTTTCAATCATTGCAGCCACTTGAAATGCTTCATTCACGACCATACCTTCAGCAATAAGGTCATGAAAAATAAGTTGAAGCTCCTGAACTTAGGTTCCAACAGTTTTACTATCTATCATTTTAATGTCTAGAAACTTGACAACCACGAACTTCTTCAAGCATGCATCTTCAGTCTTGTACTTCTTCTCAAGTGCGTCCCATAATTCTTTCGAAGTATTCATCGCACTGTACACATTGTACAAGTCATCCTCTAAAGCGCTTAAGATATAGCCTTTGCAAAGAAAATCTGCCTGCTTCCACACCTCAACAATCATGAATTTCTCGTTGTCCGGCATGTCCGCAGTAGGCACTGGAGGTTTTTCACTAGTGAATTTCTGCATATCAAGTGTGGTAAGCTAGAAGAACACCCTTTGCTGCCATCCTTTGAAGTTGGCTCAGGAAAATTTCCCTGGTTTCTCTGCCGGTGGAATAGCAGTCCGGCTTGATGAGGCTATCATTGTTGCCGCAATAGTCATAGAAGAATTTCCGTTATCAATTACCATTTCTCACTGTAAACAACAGAAGAGTTCAATTAATGGCAAAATCATAACAGTAAACAATACTGTTACTAACAAATACAGTATGTATAATAAATAAAATCGAAGTTTTTATATATTGTTTCACAGAAAAATGATGAAGTTTTTATGTTCTTCAAATCGTTTTATGAATTTCAATACTCTGATGAAGTTTTTTATATCTTCAAATCAGAATAGTAAAATTCAAAAGGAGTAGAAAACCACACAGGTTTTAATCTCCATAAACAAAATACAGAATATAATAAATTAATTTCCTTAAGAATGTTATAATTCTGTATTGCTGTAATAAATAGTTAAACTTTCTGAAAAAACAAAACAGAAAGTTAGTAATACTTGTTTAACGAAATAGATTCTGAAAAAAAAAACAGTATAGGAATAAATCGAGCCCACTGAATACACAGTGTGTCCTTAATAAAATTATTTCCCTCAAGTACCTGAGTTGCTGGAATATATCCTCCCAGGATAGAACGATTTAACTCACCGGAGTGTTGGTACCAAAACGCCGGTGAACAGCGAGCCACTCGATGGCTATAAAACACATTGGAATTTTTGTGCAGAAGAAGAAGAAGAAGATCAGAAAATTTTGTCAGAAAAGATTTTGGGATTCAAACTATATTTATAGAGTTGCTGGCATTGTTTCTGAAAAGGTTTGCAACCTTTCAGAAACAGCCATGGCTGTTGGAACATGGTTGTTTGAAATATTGCGGGAAAATGTATTTAAAATAATCAGGGAAAGAAAACGGTCCTGACCGAACCGAGTCGCGGGTTATGGGTTATTACGGATTGAATTTTTCGTTCATTATTTAATTAATTGATTAATCAATCAATCAATCGATCTTTGACCAAATCTGTAGCCGAAGCCGAGCGAGCGATGACGACGATGGCGCGATGCTTGCCTTCTTCTTAACTCTTTAAGAGCTAGAAGAAGAGCAATTATATATATACCCATCAAAAGCCTTTTCTTTCTTCGATATGTGATAATGTCCCTTTGCCAAGGGAAACTCAAATATTTCATTTTCCCTCCATTTCTCATTCACCCTCTTTAAGCTACACAAGCTTAAAATCCCAACAGTGGTGTCCCTTTTGAACTCTTTTGAGGATGTTTTTCAAAAGCCAATAGGCTTACCCCCATCGCGTGCCCAAGATCATGATATACATCTCACTCCAGGTGCACAGCCGGTTAATGTTAAGCCATATAGGTACCCATATTTTCATAAGCAAATTATGGAACAACTAGTTGTTGATATGCTCAAGGAAAGTGTGATTCGCGTAAGCACTAGTCCTTTCTCTTCTCCAGTGTTGTTGGTCCATAATAAAGATGGCACATGGTGGTTTTGTGTCGACTATCGAGCATTGAATGCACTGACCATCCGTGATCGTTTTCCAATCCCTACCATAGATGAATTATTTGATGAGTTATTTGGGGCACAAGTTTTCTCCAAACTGGACCTGCTTTTTGGGTATCACCAAATAAGAGTTAAGCCTGACGATGTGGCTAAGACCACATTTTGCACTCATGAAGGTCATTACGAGTTCCTCGTCATGCCCTTTGGACTTACTAACGCCCCCTCTACATTCCAGGCGATAATGAATGACATTTTCAGACCATATTTACGATGCTTTGCCTTAGTATTTTTCAATGATATATTGGTCTATAGTCCAAATTGGAAGGCACATCTCGAGCATTTGGAACTTGTTCTGTCCTTGCTTAGAAAGCATCAGTTGGTCCAAAAGATTTGTGTGCCTATTTGGTTAGCCGTCGATAGATTATTTGGGGCCTATCATTTCTACTCAAGGGTTGTCTGTGGATCCTACCAAGATTGCTACAATTCAACAATGGCCTCCCCTCGCTCGATAAAAGATGTTCGTAGTTGTTTACTCGAAAAATCGGGAAACGTTGAATTTAGGTGTGGTTCTAAGGATACGTGAATTCCTTATGATACAAAAATGACAATACCAGTATCTTGCTGTAAAATGGGAATAATCAATAGGAAGGCTCAATGAGCAACATGAACTCTTAATGTATCTTGGGGAGGATGAGTCTATTGCAATCTATGTCCCTTTTTATAATAGAGGGTCACTACTTTATCTATAACAACATAATAAAATAATGCATATAGTGGAGGACCCATGATGGTTTGTCTTTTCCTTGATTCCTGCCAAGATTCTCTCCCTCGGTGCGGTTATAATGGCTTTTGTCGGCGAGCTCGGTACTGGCTCGGGCTTGGTGTTAGGTCGAACCCCTGGTCTTGGTTCGAGCCCGTTCTTCCTTGGGGTATCGATATTCGGGGCCTGTGCCGGTCGGAGTTGCTTCATCATTTGATTCGGATACGGCCTCGATAATGATACCGAGTTTTGTCGTCGATCGGTCTTATAGCTCGAAACTCGACGCTCTTACTTCAGAATTTGTCCGAGCTGGTTATGTGGATACCTTTTGATCGAGACGTCATCGTTTCGGTCAGTATTTATGATCGAGAATCGGTTTTGACCATACACAGATAGTCCCCTCGTTTCTCGGAAAGGATGTAGCGAGAAACGATATGATTTCTCTACGGCTCGATTAAATATATGTCGACGTCTCTATCGACCCCGATCATGACGTATGTGATAACTGTCCCATCAGTTTGGTTTTACCGAGGCTTTTAATGCCTGTCAGATGGTGGTCGGCCACCGCTAATACCGAATCGTCATGCGTTAGCCTATAAATAGTCTTTCTATACAACTTATACCACTTTTGCGCCTTCTCTTCTTTCAATTTCTCTCATTTATTTTCTCTATTTCGCTACTTCAGGGCCGCTCATGCCAGGGTTTTTGGCGTTGTCCATCTTTTCACCTTCCTTCGCATTCTTTTCTCTCATATCAATGGCAAAAACTTCCAAAATTATACCTCAGAAGGAGAAAGCTTCTTCTTCACGGCCGTTTGATGACAAGGCACCGGCGAAACCGTCCGTTCACGACTATGTTCCTGGCCCGTGTATTTTGAAGACCGATTTTAGGGTGGAGAATCTTTCGTCTATTCCGGGTCGATGTGAGCACGTATCGATGTATGCGTGCTCTATAACAGAGGATCATCTCGGGGCCGTTAGGAAAGACTGCAACTGGGGTTCCGAGGTTGTGTTGCAAATTCCATCCTCCGATGAGAGCGTCACTACTTATGTGGAGGGGTTTTTAAGTGTTTATACTTATCCCTTCATATTGGGACCCGTCGACCCGGTGATTATTGATTTCTGCAAAAGATATCAGGTCACTCTTGGCTAAATTCATCCTTCTTTATGGCATATAGTGATCTTGTTACGCTTCTTCTCTATCAAAGCCGGGGGGTTGGATTTTTCTCTGAACCACCTCATACAACTGTACCGGCCTCAGATTTTCCGAGGACTAATTAGACTTCATCATCGAGCATCGAAGGCTTTGATGTCGAGCATCGATGAAGACAAGGATTGAGGTTGGATAGGTCGATATATTCGAGTGAGGACCCGTGATATTATTCCGGAGGAGAAGATGTCATTCCCTGAAGAATGGAATTTTGATCGTAAGTGATTCTCGTTTACCTTTCATGTCTTTTTTCAGATTTTTTCTGATGTCTTTTCCCGATGTTCAGCTGCCCCATGGATACCGCAAGCAGTGCCTGACCTCGAGGACTGGGTTCGGAATTTAGCCTCGAGCTCCTCTTATGCTGAACGCGCTTGGCGTGATTTGGCAAAAGGCAGATGGGAGGCCAAGAATCACGGTGAGGTTTGCTTCCTGTTTTCTTCAAAGTGTCCTTCACTTTATTTTTTTACCGATTTTCTTTCATGCAGGCGTAACCAGGGATGCCGTTCTGAGGCCTTCGAGCGGTAAAGAAGGAAACAAGTCCCTGGTTCTCAAACAGGGGACAGATAAGAAGCGAAGAGCTTCCTCTCGGTCAGAGGACCCGAAGCCCAAAACTCGAAGGGTGAGAAGAAAAGCAATCGCCCTTTCGATGGACTCAGTCCAACGACTGAGAGAAGAAGGAGAAGAAGATAGCTCTTCATCTTTGGTGATTCGATCTACGGAGACCATCGAGGTTGCTAGAGCTCCCGAGCCGATGACGGTTGTGCCTGTCGGGGTTGGTTCCGAAGACCTGAGTTTCGACCGGAGTGCTCCGAGTGATTTGTTCGGGGCTATGACAATAGGTCATTCGCCTTCTCTTCCGTCTTTTTCTGAGGAGGCGTTGAAGGAAGCTCGAGAGTTGAAGACTACTGATATCAGTGCTGGCTCTGGTGTAGGGGATCCTTTTAGGGATTGTTTTACTGGGGTCGACGATGGTTCCAATATCGGTGATGCTTCTCTCTTATTAGAGGAGGCTCAGTATTTCATTACTCAGGTAATGATTTTTCCATACTTGGTTTCTCTGTTCTTTTCCATACTTGACTCTTGTTTCTTACTATGCAGGCTATTAATAGGTTTCGAGTCAATCTTAGCTAGTGTGAGGCCGAGTTATGGAAGGTCTCAGGTGAGAGAGATGCCCTGCGGCTTCTTTGCAGCCAAAAGGATGAGGCTATAAATGATCTCCAAGCGGATTTGGCTAAGGTCCGTGAAGAAGGGGTCGAGCTTGATAAGCAGGTGAGCCTCGTTCTGTTAAAGTATGGGTCTAACTCAACCGTGGAAGTTAACCCTTCGTTGTCTCAGTTGCAGCAAAAGATCGAAAAGATTGGGTTACTTCGAGAAGAAGTCGACCAAATCCAAGCTGAATGCAATCGGTGGAAGGAGAACCTCGACCGCCTGGCAGCGAAAAAAGAAACCATCTTGACGAAATTATTATCGACCAACGTTCAACTTCGAAGTGTCAAGCAAAAGGGGCCGGTCCAAGCAAAGAAGATCGAGGAGCTTGAAACACGACTTGCTGAGGCTAAAGCGGAAGTTGAGTCGTCGAAAGTTTTAGCGGAAAACTCCATTGCTGTATATCGGGCTGATGCTGAGGCTGCTCAAATGGAGGCCCGAGAAGCGGTGAAGACCGTCGATACTCGAGCTCATTGGGTTGCCGAACTTACCAAGTGTAGGTCTCGGAGGGAGGCCCTCGAGGAGATACACGCTCGAGGTTTCGACCTTACCAAAGAGATAAAAAAGGCAAAAGAGCTCGAAGCGAAAGCTGAAGCCTTGGCTTCTAATGACGACGACGATGATGGTAGTAAAAGCGGATCCGAGGATGGGGAAGAGCTCGACCAGAAAGCTTAGTTTCTAATTCTTCGTGTCTGTAAATTAGTCACATAGGCAATTTTTGTATATATGTGTATGACGAGGTCGACTTGTTTTTGTTTTGTGAAGGCTTTTAATCGAATGTTGATCTTGTAGTCTCTCTGATCGATCAGACTTGTAGCCCCTGGGTTTGCTCGTTGAGTCGATGAATCAAACTTTGAAGGAACATAATCTGTAGGTGATTTGTAAAAGTAGCTTATTACCCATTGAGTGAATGTTTTGAAATATTGTAGCCCATGAGTGAGTGCTTGCTTGAACTCGGAATAACAGGAATAACAGTAGCCCGCAGGCTTAATAGTCGAGTGATTCGAACTTGAAGTAGTGTAGGTAGCCCGTAGGCTTAATGGTCGAGTGAGTGCTTGCTCGAACTCGAAAATAAAAATAGACCATAGGCTTAGTCGAGTGAATGATTCGAACTCGAAATAAAAATAGGCAGTAGGCTTAGTCGAGTGAATGATTCGAACTCGAAGTGTAAATAGCCCGTAGGCTTAATGGTCGCGTGAGTGCTTGCTCGAACTCGAAATAAAAATAGCCCGTAGGCTTAGTATTAATACAATAAATCTCAAGTCATTGCACATGTGTTTATGTTTGGGCCAATCTATATGAGCATGGTTCATTTTGACCATTTGGCTCTTACAATTTTTCCTGTTGGAACCCTATTGTTGTGAGATGACTTTCTTGCATCTGAATTCGATGTATTTGAGGGCCCTGATCCCCCCTCCCCCCCGGTATTCGAGGTCGATGGAAAGAGGCCTCGGATATTATTAAAAATACAGCACGATCGATGGTTGGCTCATTAAAAACCTTGCCAAAAAACCCATTTGGGAGAAAACCGGTCTAAGGGAAAAAGAGTGCAATGCGTGCTTTTAAGCGAAAGATCTTCTTCAGCTCTTGTTCGTACTTCTGCATGGGTCAATTAGATAAATATGGAAAGGCCGTACCTTAGCAGTAGTACCATTTTAGATGTGATACATTCCAACTGCTTGATAGTTGTTTGCCGTTTATGATGCCGAGCATGTATGATCCTTTTCCAACGTTCTCCAGCACCTAGTATGGTCCTTCCCAATTTGGTCCAAATTTTCCTTCGTTTTGATTCTGAGTATTGATGGTGACTTTTCTTAACACTAAATCCCCGGGCTTGAAATGGCAAAGTTTAGTTCTTCGATTATAATACCTTTCGATTCGTTGCTTTTGGACGGCCAATCGGATGAGAGCCGCTTCTCGTCCTTCGTCCGATAATTCAAGGCTGGTGTTCATAGCCTCGTTATTTGATTCTTCCGTCATGAATCAAAATCTGGGACTAGGTTCACCGATTTCGACTGGTATCAATGCTTCGGAACCATATACTAAGGAGAATGGGGCCGCCCCCGTACTGGATTTTGACGTTGTTCGGTATGCCCAAAGGATTTCGGGCAGGATTTCTCTCCATTTTCCCTTAGCGTTGTTCAATGTCTTCTTCAGGTTTTGAAGAATAGTCTTGTTCATTGATTCGACCTGACTGTTCCCACTGGGGTGGTATGGTATCGATAATATCCTTCTTATTTTGTGATCTTCGAAGAATTTTGTGATTTTGCTGCCAATGAATTGCTTCCCATTATCGCATACTATTTCGGCTGGTATCCCGAATTGGCATATGATATGATCCCAAATAAAGTCTATAACTTCATTCTCCCTTATTTTCTCGAACGCATGCGCTTCAACCCATTTAGAAA